ATTATCATCATCATCATCATCATTCAAGTATTTCGAAATATATAATTCTATTATTCTTGCTGTTGTTGTTGTTGTTGTTGTTGTTGATGTCATATAAATTACATATATCCATACTATGAGATGAATAGAATTTTTTTTTCATTTCTTATATTCTTCAAGGGGATTGGATGTTTTTTGTTCGTTGTTGTTTGTTTGTTTTCAACATTACATTAAATGAGATTTTTTTTTCTCAAAATTCTTCATGTTATTATTGTTGTTGTTGTTGATATTGTTGTTGTATTTCTGTATAACAACAACAAAACAGAATCAACAGAATCAATACATGGCAATCAATGACTTAATGTGGTCATAATACCAATGATGATGATGATCAGAATATTCTGTGTGTGTGTGTGTGTGTATGTGTGCGTTTTTTATACACTTTAACCACATGAAATTTGATCGAATATTGCTGGTTTTTTTTTATTCTTCATTCCAATAAAATTCAACATTGTTAAAAAACATCAAATTACTAACCAGGATTTTTTTTCTGTTCACCATATTCAAATTCATGTTTTTTTTTGGCCTAAACATATGTACCAGTGTTAGTGTAGTATTTTTTTCCGTTGATTACAATTTATTTTAAAAGCAAAGAATATTCTGTTCTCAATTCAGGGTATTCATGTTTAGTGAGAGGAGAAAACAAAAGAAAAATGAAAAGTTTTTCCATCCATTTATCTATCTGTCGAACGGAAGTGATGGTAAAAAAAACTGATTTTAAAATAACGTAAAACAAGGGAAAAAAATCAAAAAACGACGACGACGACGACAATAATAATCATAACTGAGGGGCAGAATAAGAATGAAAAAAAAATTCACAGAACAACAGAATTCACTAAACTAAACTCCATATTTAGTGATAGAAAACTACAACTGAAACAACAACAACAACAACAAGAATATGGAACTCTTGAATCAAACAATAATGATGACGATTATTATAAAACATTATTTTTAACGTCGATAACAACAACAACAACAAAAAAAACTTTTGACATCATCATCATCATCATCATCAGCAACAACAACGATCATTTGGATCGTTTTTATTATTTTTTATTTTTTGGTCTCATCATATATCAAGTGAAAAAAAAAATTCGAGCGCATCAATTTCTTGTTAGCGGACACCAATGATAATAATGAAGGCGGTGGTGGTGGTGATGATGATGGTGGTTGTGGCAGCTGCACACACACACACAAAAATTGCACAAAGTTTCATTTTAATAACACACGATAAAATAAAAAAAAAACTTTTTCTGTTTTTTTTTTGTTGCTGTTTTAAAATAAAAAATGTTTTCGGTTAGAGATTCTATCATCATCATCATTGATGTGATGTGGTTTTTTTGCCATCATCATCATCATTATCATCAGTCGTTGATAATGATCGAATACTTTCCATGGATTCATTTGTGTGTGTGTGTGTGTGTGTGTTTTTATCATTTAAATTCATTTGATGATTATCTGGTTATTTCTTCACACATCCTGTTCAACGTTAGCCATCGTCTGAGCAATTGGATTCTTTCAAAAAAAAAAAATCAACACTAACCTAGATTCTGGTTGTTTGTAAAGAGGAAATTTGAAATAAAAAAAATCTATGAATTTTAAAATTTTCATCATTGTGGAAATGTTTTTTTTTTTCTTTCAAACAGTTTTAAAACAAAAGTTTTTTTCCTCCTCTCTCTTCTTCTTCTTCTTCTTCTTCTGTGCCCATCCACATCTTGGTCATCAAACTTTATTCCATTTTGGTTATTGTTATTGTGTAAACACACACACACACACAACACCACCACCACCATCATCATCATCATCATTGCATTGAATCTATAGCAACGAATCAAATGGAATTTTTAAATGGAAAAATGGAACAAAAACAACAACAACAACAACGGGCCAAGAAAAAAACTATGGTTGAATGATTTCAATCCATTCTTTTTTTTCAGGAGGGGGAATATGGTGGGGGTGGTTATTTCCTATTGAATGATGGATTTTTTTTTCTCTCCCTCTCCATCTTCTCTCTCTCTCTCTCTCTCTCTGGCTTTTGTTGTTTAAAAAAAAACATCGAAAACAAACAGACAAAAAATGTGATTACAATTTAAACAATTGTTTCTTCTTCACTGTTGATCAAATGGAAAAAAAATCACTACTACAACAAAACAGGAAATACATCCCAATTGGAATTCATTCTTGTCAGTCATTTGTAGATGAAGAAGAAAAAAAAATCTTTTATTGTTATCGTATGGAAAACTGAAATTATCATTTTTTTTTTTTGAATAATTTTCAACAGCAGCAGCGATATATATATGATTGAGGGTGATGATGATTCTGGTGATGATTCTGGCAATGATTCTGGTGAATGAAATGAAAAAAAAAATCTAGGCCAACAGCAACGAATTTTGTTTTTTTTCATTTATAACCTAATTATGCATGAATATTTTTTTATTTGTTTGATTGTTTGATTGTTGTTGTTGTTGTCATCATTAATGATGATGATGATTCCAAGTCTACAGAATTTTTTTTTTCGCAGTAAAAAATAAACTATAAGCTGACAACAACAACAAACAAACGAACAATCTAAAACCAATCTAAATTTGACATGTAATGGTAGTGGTGGTGGTGGTCGTCGTCATTTTGTTGTTGTTATTATTAATTATATGCATGGTATATACCAACATCGTAAGATAAGAAAACCAGAAAAATATCCATTGAACTTCCAACAACAACAACAACAACAACAGCGAAAAAAAAGACAAAGAATTTATCGATAAAATTGCGATCAATTGATATTATTGATAATAGAATACAAAATTCTATTGTTATCACACACACACCGTATATTTTGAACATCATTATCATAGTTCATCATTATTATTATTATTATTATTACCAAGAATCGATTTATTTGTTTGTTTGTTTGTTGTTTTTTTGGCTTACAAAGTCAATTATCAATCAGAAGATCATATTTTGTTTCATTTTTTCCATACACACACACACACACACAAAAATCTGATTAAATCATGGAGAATAAATCGATAACATTATGGAAACAAATTTGTACGCAAACAACAACAACGACGACGACGACGACGAACAAACTAAAAACGCAAAAAGGCCAAGGCGTGTCTTGTATTTTTGTATTTTTTTTTTTTTGGATAAAAAAAACTGAAAAACAGAAAAAATTTTCAACAATAATGATGATGATGATGATGATGTTCGAATATTGAACACTATATATCGGTCACTATATGTACTATATCCGTAATCAAAATCGATCATCAATCATTATTGGTTGTTTTTTGGATAGTGATAGTGAAAAAAAAATCCATAGTTTTCATTTAATGATGACGACAATGATTATGATCAATTTTGATGATGATTTATAGTTTCAATAAATAAAATAAAAAAAAATTGTGGAAAGTAACAACAACAACAACAAAAAAATTCTAAAATTGAATGTCAAATGATAATACTACACAACAACCGAACAACAACAACAACAACAACAACTATCAATCGAGTACATGGACAGTGCAGAGAGTCCAAAAATACTGAAAATTTCCGGACCAAAAACTTTAAAAAAATAAATTCGATGATCATCGTGATGATCATCATCATCATGATGATTTCGATTGTGATTTAAAATCAACCAACCAAAAAAAAAACGATTGACCAAAAAAATTGTAGAAAAAAAATAGTCAACTCATCATCATTAACATTTGATGATACAAATCATTCGTTGTAGTGCCGGTCATCGTAGGTCATTTACTGTTTTTTTTTTGGGCCACCGGAACAATAATAATAATATAAATATTTAAATCGATTAAATACACCCATAAAAAAAACATACATACCACATAGAGAAGAAATAGGATTAAATGAAGATTTTTTCAAATGTTGTTGTTGTTGTTGTTGTTGTTTGTTGTTGTTGTTGTTGTTGTTGTTGTTGTTTATGTGGACCAACGAAGCGAAAACACAAATTTGAATTGTTGCTCATGAAAAAAAACAACAGAGAAAAAAAAACAAAATAAATCAAATTGATCATGTTCCTGGATGAAATGGTCTGTATTATTTTTTTTTTTTTTTTCAGATTTCCTCAAACGATACAAGATTAAATGATTTCCATCACCATCATCATCATCATCATCATCGATGATGACGACTATGACGACAACCAAACAATGTCTAAAACGATGATGGTGAACGATGAACAAAAAAAAAAAAAAAAAATGACAAAAGTTTTCTTTTTCACGGTTAAGAAAATGTAATGCTTTTTCATTATTGTTCATCACAATTTTATAGTAGACTTGTCAATGTCTCAGGCAAACAAAAAAAAAAAAAAAAAAACTCTGAAAAGATGCAGCGATCATGATGATGATGATGATGAAAATCCATGTCATCATTTTGCAAAGAATCAGAAGTTTTTTTTTCATAGGAAAAAAATGACTATCGTTCCTGGTTGCTGTGATTTTTTTTTTTTTGGTTTGATGCGAAACATTCGAATGAATGAATGAATGAACGATAGCCGTACATTGAAGAATTACTCATGAAAATAAGAAAGAAACATTTTGAAATCTAGATCAGAAAATGAAGAAAAAAAAACCATTTCCAGTCAAATTGTGTTGTAGGTTTTTTTTCTCTCTACTGGTATTTTGTCTAGAAGTTGAGATTCGTTTTTCGTTTTTTCCGTTGTTGTTGTTTTTCAACGGAATTCAACATTTTTTAAACGACTTGGGCTTTTCACTTTTCGAAGAGCTACTTCTTGATGATGATTCTGCGAATATAAAGAATTCAGAAACTTTTTTAATTGATTCAAATAAACTGTCGATTGGATCGATGAATCGATCGATGGATTGATCGATCCTCAACAATGATGGATAGATGTGGATCTGGATTGGTTTTTTTTTTATTTGTTTGTTCATTTGAAAATGATTTTTTAATTCAAAAATAGAAATTTTTTTAAAAATTTGAGCAAAAGTGAAAATTTGACAACATTTATTCATATGTAAATAATATAAGAATATGTATAGAATAAGTGGTAAGCAAAAAAAAATTGAGAAAAAAAATGAAATTTAAAAACAGAACTGCAGAATTGAAAAATTGAAATTGTTACAATCAAATCATCATCATCATCATATATCCGTATGGCATTTTTTTGTTTTTGTTCTTATCACACACTGGCCATTCACGATATGGATGTCATCGTGTTTTGTTTGGCAATTTTTTTTCTTGTTTGATGATTGTGTGTAATGCTAAGATCTTTTTTTTATATATATCGGGCACAATATATAATCAATTTATTTTCCATTCATTGAATGAATGAATGAAAAAAATTGGTCACAAAAAAAAGAAAAGCTTTCAAATATGAAGACAGCAAGAATAAAAAAAAAAAAAAAATGGCAAGAAAAATCTATTTTTTTTGTCCTATTGTGTATGTGTGTGTATGTATGTATGTATGTTTTTTATATTTGATCGTTTGCAGAAACATAATCTATAACATGTAACATGACAAGGAAAAGAAACATATAGAAAAAAAAATATATCTGACCAAAGTTTGTCGTATTCGTGTGTGTGTGTGTGTGTGTGTGTGTGTGTTGTGTAAGTAAAAGTGTAAGACAACCAAACCATTTATACATTGGAATTTGCCGTTGGGAGAGAGAGAGAGAGAGAGAGAGAAACCGAATCAAATTGAATTGAATTGAATCAAAGATCAAATGTAATCGGGTAATATCTCTTTCTCTTTCACTTCGATCATTCGTTTTTTTTTTTATTGATTCTGATGTATTTTGATTTTTTTTTCTCTCTCTCTCTCTCTAAATGTTTTAAATTGTTATATATTAATTCTCTTGACTGACTGACTGACTGGCTGACTGACTGACTGGTTGACATTATTCTTTCACTGTTGATTGTTTTTTAGAATCCGGCAATGATGATGACATTGTTGTTGTTGTTGACGATGTTGTTGATGATGATGATGATGATGATTGAGAAGATTTGTGCACAAATATCACATACGAATATATAAGACTGCCAATCATCGATATGTTAAGGCCGATAAAATTTACAATAGAAAATATATAATCACCACCAATGTACATTCCAATAAATGTCACTAGAATATTCTATATGAATGAATGAAATGAAAGAAAAATAAAAACATATATTATTACATGACAAACAAAATCAACGAAAATATATGAGAAAAGAGAGAGAGAGAGACAGAATAAAGAATCATCATGTTGTCTTTTTTCTTTTGGTTGGCAATATTTTCATGTCAAAATATTTTTGAAAACACAATTTTAGAAATCAAATAAATATAAATGCCTAATGTTTATTGTAAGATTGTGTGTGTGTGTGTGCGCGACTGATCAATGATTGAAAGTGTAGAATTTTTGATTTTTTTTTCAATTATCTTATTCATAATCGTTCATTTTGTGTGTGTGTGTGTGTGTATTGTTATTCTAATAGAAAGATATCGGTTTCAAGAAAAGAAAAATCTCAAAGAATACAAACGTGAATAGAATCTGAAAATAGAATCAAAATTCTTTACAACTAACTATGTATATTTGGCATTTTTTTCTTCAAAATTCAGACTATTTTTGAATGATTCTGATTTTTTTTCAATGTAATATTCAATCAATCAATCAATGATGTTTATATATATATATATTTGATTATTATTTATCATTTTTAGATTTATTGATTCAATTTTTCCACTAACCTTTAAACAGCCAACAATGGTTGTTGTTAATGCCGAATTATATTGTGTACATAATGCCGTTGAATACATCAATACAAATCCCATTATATTGGACATTAAAAATGCCAATACAAACCAAGGTGAATTCAAGCTCCTATGAAGAAAACTTTTTGGCAAGAAGATGAATGCTTCACCGAATTTGAATGGAACGATCAAAGAAAAAAAAGTCAACAAATAGATTATGATTCAGAATTCGTTTACATTTATTGTTTAAATCAAACATTGAAATTGGCGAATGTAACATACCGATGTGAAAATGCTGTCTATCGTATTCCTCGAGATCAAGAATTCACAATTGATGAACATGAATACATTGTGAGGAAACAGACAAAGAAAGCGAATTTTGTATTGGAATATCATACATCCAGAACAATTAACGCTTTATTATTCCATGATCAATTTGAATACGAAAAATCCTTTAAAAATATCGGAATTCTTTTGGACAACTATCAGAATTGAGGAGGGCATGTAGCATTAAAAAGTTAAATGATGATATTTTTGCATTATAAATTCCAAATATTTGAATACAACCGATAATTTAATTATCGGAAAATTGATTAAACACAAACAACAAACTTCAATTAATACACATTCTTTAAATCTAACACACAAATATAAAAAGCAAAACACAGAACACAGAAATAATTATCTTTTGAGATCATTATGTTTTGAAGTGATTTCATGCTGAATAAAATATAAATTTTTATATATATATATTTGATTATTATTTATCATTTTAGATTTATTGATTCAAGATTTTACTAACCTTTAAGCAACCAACAATGGTTGTTGTTAATGCCGAATATATTTTGTGTATACATAATGCCGTTGAATACATCAATACAAAATCCGGGCCGTTCAAATTCAAGAAAACATTGTCGCCAATCATCCACACATAATGATAATAGAAATAATGGTATCGATATGAATAAAGCATTATAATATAGAATTCCATATTTGCCTAAATCCTATCGATTTTTTTTTTTCGTTTTCATTACAATCACACAAACACAAACACACACACAAACGAATATTACAGCAACGATGTTTGATGAATCAAAATGATAAAATTTGATGACACAAATAGTGCAAAGACATAATCAATCATTGTCGTTGTCATTATGTTGGTTTGGTTGTTCGAATGACCAATGGATACATTGATATCAATGATGTGCACACGGTGGTTGACAAACATATCCAAAAATAACAATAATCAGACACATATATACGCATACATATGGGAATCATCATCATCAATAATCGATCATTGTAATTGAAAATAAAGGGCCATCAGATGAGTATATATATATATATTGAACGATGATGATGAATAATAATGACAGAGTGAAAAAAAATGAAAATAAATGATCAGAAAACAAGAATGTTTCAAGAATTGATGATAAATAAAATAAAAAAAAAAAAACTTACCCTTGAATCAAGTTTCTTTTTCATGTATATACCATTAAAAGTGGAAAAAATATCGTTGAGCAATACACAAACATAACCCATCATATCGAATGCCAGATCGTTGCTGTGAAATGAAAAAAAAAATTAAAAAAAAGTCGAAATTTGAATTTGAATTCGATTCAAGAATCAGTAAAAAAAAAAATTTCAACAAAAAACTAAACGCCATCTATCGTATAGAAACATGTATTTTTTCCACAAAGTTTGATGAACTTTTCAATGAATAAAAACCATTATTACAAGAATGAAATTCTTTCCAGAATTGCCAAACAAGAAAAAAAATGAACACGACAAAACATATTATTATGAATATGATATATATAAACTAAACACTACTTGTTGAATGGAAAATAAAAATCAAATAATTGCTTGATCGATCAAACATACATATATATCGATTACATTTGATTGATGATTGACACACACACACACACACAATGCCAATGAACTTTGATTTTTAGCTGAATTAAATTTTTACGAGTCGTTAAATCTATCTGTGTGTGTGTGTGTGTGTTTTATGAGATTTCATGTGAAAATAAAAATGGCAACTATCGTGATTGGTGATCAACGAACAGAAATAAGAAAAAAAAAAAAAATTTACCTGGCTGCAATTATGGCACCACCGATCATCATGAAAACGGTCATTTTAATAGTCATAGATTGTGTTATACTAAATTTAAAAAACAATCAATTTGAAAGAATTTTTTGTTCATTTAAACAAAAAACTTACCCTAGAATATAATATTCACCAATCATTGTCATTAGAATGGTGAATCGTCGTAACACGGTCAACATTGGAAGATTTAAACGTTTAGTTGAACCAAGACCGGCAACTAAATTGCCGAAAAAAAATATCGGCAATGGTGATATTTTAACATTCACATCACGTGAATAATATGGATATTTAATAAGACCAATACGGCGACAAATATTCAGTACAATAATAGTGGCCAACACTTGGCCTAAACCAACAATCATTACAGAAGGAAAACTAAAAAAAAAATGTGACAAAAAAAAACAAATGAATAAATAAATTGAATTATTCTAGAGACAAAAAAAAAAAAACAACTTACTGATAGGTTGTCAAGATAATTTTGTTGATTACAACCAATAAGAATGATGATATTGCAAAAAATAATGCCGAAAATACTCGCATCATCATTGGGCCACGACAGAAACAGGATTTGAATAGAACCATAAATGAAATTCGAAATTTCGATTGTTTTGGTCGTGTTCGAATGATTTTGATTTTATTACAATTAATTGGTTCAACAGCATTTTTTAAACAAGATGACGATGATGATGAATTTAATTCATCTTCCATTTTTTCTTCTGATGTTTGACCTTCAACATCTTCATCATCATCAACATCATTATCATCATCATCATCATCTGTTGGGACTAGACTAACATATGGTAGGCTAAGCCTATTTTGATGTCCATTAATCATTATTGGATCAATTTTTTTAGTAACACTATTACTATGATTTGTATCGATAACCAAATAATTTTGATGTAAATGATGTATAGAATGACGATGATTATTATTACATTCTTTTTTAATTACCGGATATTGTATCATTCGTTTATCAGTAATAAAATTTGTATTCATTTGCATTTGTTGTTGTTGTTGTTGTTGACAATGAGAAATATTATCATTCTCATCCGTTGTCATTGGTGATTGTTGTTGTTGTTGTTGTTGATGGAATCGATCATCTTGAAGAATTGAATTATCATTAATAACATTGGAATTATTGTTGTTTGAATCTTGTTCAAAATGATTCTTGTTGATATCGTTGTCAATGTTAACAGCATTGTAATCGTTTAAATTAATCGATGATGGCAATGTTGTTGTTGTTGTTGTTGAATGACGGTGAATAATTGTCGACATTTATCCAGAAAAAATTGTTTTTGTTTCGATCTATCTAATAATAGTAAAAAAAGAAATTGAAAAAATGAAAACAGAATATTTTGAAATACCTATTATGAAGCAATGATGATGATCTTTGTGGACGAGCAATTTTGTCGATGTCTAAACGATGAATGATTCAATCACCATCAACTAGCAACAACAACGGCAACTATTCGGGATTTAAAGCAAAAAAAAAAAAAAAAAAATAAGCATAAGATAAATCTTGGTCAACGTTATCATCATATATCATCATCATCATAGTCTTTAAAGGTCTTTGTATGATAAATTTGAACAGAATGTGTGTGTGTGTGATTAGGCGATAAAAAAACTGAAATAAGAAAAGAACGAAAGTTGAATATCATCAATCTTATCATCATCAATTACACACATTTGGCATCTTGTTATTGTATCGACTACATACATTATATTTATATTTATAAATAAATATATGAATTGGGAAAAAGATGAATAATTTAAGATAATAATGATGATGATGATGATGTTGATATGATATGATCACCAAAAAAAAAGTTGATTTTTTTGTTTCACCATTTATTTTATCCGAATAAATATTGACTACTATCACACAGACACACAAAAGAATACAGAAAATTTCTCTTTTTGTGTTCTAGATGATTGTTGAACGAAAATTTGAAGAAGAAGAAGAAAAAGAAATGACAAATGTCCAAAATTTACAAAGTACAATTTGGTGTCACACTGTCAAACGTTTATTGATGTGTAAAAAGAAAAAAAATCACACATCCAACCTCAAAACCAACACACACACACACAAAAACACGTATATATAGACAAGGAATAATGTTCTTGTCTTTGTTATTCAGATGTAGATTTCATTCGTTTTTTTTCATATTGATAAGATGATGAATGATGAACGATGATCAATCAATAATTGGTTGATTTAAAGTTTTTTTTCTTTTTCATTCAAGTGACAGCAGCCATGGCCATCATTGTTCAATTGATAAACAAACACAATCATCATAATCATAATCTATAAAACGGAACAAAGTTTTTTCCTACGAAAAAAAAATTGAATTAAAAAAAACAACGCCAAATAGTATCCTATTCTGGGAAATTTTCAACAAATATCGCTTGTATCCAGGGGGTAATAGTCTAGTGTTGTTGAAAAAAATCGCAAATGGATTGTTTTTTGTTGAATTTGATTGGAAATCAAACAAACAGTGGCCAATAGTTTCATTTTGTATTCATTCATTCATTTAGCCAATAGATGATGATGATGAGAAGAGAAACAAATTCATCAAGGATGAATGTGAACTATTGAAGTATTTTTAATGGAAATAATGATTTCCGTTAAAATGGCCTTGATATGTCTTGTTAGGATTAGGATTTTTTTTCTTTTAGATTTCTTAATTCTTATTTTTGCATATTATTTTTTTCCACTGTTTTGAAATCATTATTTCCAATGTTTGTTGAAAATGTTTCGATATCTATTCAATAATCACGTAGTTGATGATGGTGTTGATGGTTATCAAATTTCAATCGATGAATCGGGTAAGTAATAAGAAGAAGAAAAAAAAGTGGAATTTTTTTCCCTGTGTGACAGCATTCATTGATTATCAAAATCGGACAAGGTTATAACACATGTCACATGTCACACATATATGGAGAGAGATAAACCGTACGTACAATGACATTCATCTCATTTACTGGTGAATATTATCATTATCAAATGAAATGAAATGAAAACAAAAAATTGGACACGAGGTTGAAACGATAAGATATGAATTCATTCAAGAGATGGCGGCCAGTTTTTTTTTGGTTAGTCAAATATTATTGTCGATGTTGTTGATGATGATGATGATGATGATGAAAATGTTCGAAAAAATTTTTTCCAATAAGTCTTTTTTTTTGGCTAGTTCAATCTGGATATCATCATTTATCATCGACAGGGTTCGAAAAGATTCGATTTTATTGATTTAAATTTTTCTTGGATGATGATTACACACACACACATTGTGTGTGTGTTCTATTTTCAATTTCAAGGATATTCAAGGGTTGATGATTTCAATGATTTCAATGATGATGATGATGATTGTCATTTAATATGGATATAATAAATAGAAATTAATGGCATTTGTCGATTGAAATTCTGGAAAAAAAAGACAAAAGATTATAAATGATGATGATTGTAAACGATAATTTTATGTTCAAAATTTTTTGAGCAATAAATGGACAATTATACGATGGTATGATGATAAAAATACCAAAAAATAGAAGATAAAAATTTGTGAGTATTAAAAATGATGATGATGATGATTATCACAATTCAATCTGTCACATAATGAAAAATTTATGGCCTTTTTTTTTATTTGTGGCTGGTGGTGACGAGTATTTTATTTTCGGCATATAAATTGAGAATTTAAGTAGAAAAGAATTAAAACACGTTGATGATGATGATCAAGCCATTTTGTTGTTGTTGTTGTTTGAATCACATCATTCCATAATAATTTTAATTCCAACAATTAAAATTTCCCGCTCACGGTAATCGCCAAAAAAAAAACAGTGTTCCAATCACATGGAACACTTGTCAAACAACAATCAACATATAATATGCAAGACCACTCAGTTTTTTTTTTTTTTTTTTTTGGAGGGCATTCTCCATATCGGAGGGTGTACACGCCATTTAGTAAGAAAAAAAAAGTTTTTATCTGTTCATAAACATTGTTCTTTAGTCTGTGTGTGTGTGTTTTTTTTTTTGAATCAATAAAAATTGTCTGTAATTTTAATTTTATTATTGCCAAGAAAAATACCAGAAAATGATTATAAATCAAATAAATCAAATGAATGTAAACAAAAAGAAAAGAATCCAGGATATAGGAATTTTATTATTATTATTATTATTATTACAATCATTGTAAATCATTGATTCGAACATCGTGATGATCCTGGTGAAATTTGTAGACAATTTTTCGTATCAACATTAAATGGTGGACATGTTCGTACACGTTGTGCAACATCATAGGTAGAAAAACAATAATAAATCGAATCATTCGTACATAATGCACCTGGACATTGTTGATTCAATGTATGACCACAATATCTACCGGATGGACGACCATTACCATCACCATCACCACCACCACCAGCACAGCAACGACAATTTGGATCGATTAAATCAATCGATTTATCATCATAACCATTATTATTCGATTTTGATTGTACAAACAAAACGAATAAAATGACCATAAATGCTATGTGGCATAATAATAATTTCATCATCATCATTGCCATTTTATAAAATCCAAAATGCAGTGTATATGGATTTAAAATGATTTTTTTTTCGTCTTTTTTTTTTATATATAAAGCCGAAACTTTATTTTTTTGTTTTGTTTCTTTCCAAAATGAATGTTGGTGTGAATGGTGAAAAAGGAAACAATGAAATTATATGAATGTGTAAATAATAATTAGACAAAAAAAAATAAAAAAAATAATGCGGGAAATGAAATATTCAAAAAAAAAAAAAAAAATTAAACATTACAAAATGACGACGATGATGATGATGATGATAATGGTGCTGGTAGTGTGGTCACGGTCATTTACCAGTGTAATTTGAAATGTCAAAAAAAAACCAAATTTGAAAAAAAATGTTCAAATCATCATAATAATAATAATAATAATAGATAATATTCAAAGTCAAACTTAGAATAAAGATCAGACACATTTACTACTAATATAAGACGACGTGTGTGTTGTTGATTTGTTTAGCAAGCAATTCATCAACAATTATCATAATCATCTTCATCATCATTGATTGTTCCATCTAATGATGTTGCTGGTAATGGTGGAGTGGCCAATGTTCCAAAATTGGCTAAATTTGATGACTTGATTGTTGATATTGTTTTGTTATTATTCGACATATTGTCTTTATCATCATAATCATTATCATTATCATTATTATTACCATTTTCATCGCCAACGTCTTCTTCAGTATCATCATCATCGACCAAATCTTCATCATCCATTATATCATCAGATTCACCATCATCATCGTCATCATCATCATCTGAAGTTTCGGCTTTTCGTCTTTTTCTTCCTGATTTGGCGGATAATGGTGGTCGGCCTCGACGTCCACGTGTTGTCGTCGATTGAGGTTGTTTATTTTTCAATGTTTGATGTTGACCATTATCTTGTTGTTGTAAAGATGTAGATGCTGATGCAGAACACGATTGTTGCTGATCTAGTGGATATTTTCGTGGCCTACCTCGACCACGTGTTTTATGATTTTTTGATGAATTTTTTTGAATAATCGGTGGCTGAGGTAAAACCATTGCCAACGTAGTTGTAGTTGGAATAGGGGTTGCTTGATAGACTTTACAACCATTATTATTGTTGACAATTTGTGGTATCTCACTTGTAATAATTGATGATGAATTTTTCGTCGTAACCATAACTGACGAAGATGGTGTTGATGAAGTTGGATTTTGTTGTTGTTGTTGTGGTTGTTGATGAGCTAAAACAGGATTTATAGTTGTTGTTATTGTTGATGATGATGATGATGATGCCGTTGGTGGATCGTCATCGGCTGTATTATTTACATCCGGTATTGATTGGGCCAATTCATTTAGAAAATTAAATTCAGTTTTATTAAGTATAGCAGTTTTTCTGTTTTCAATAAATGTAAGAAAAAAAATCATTAGCTTTAATTCAAAAAAAATCGATTCATTCAAAAAAAAAAAAAAAAAATACATATGATTTGGTGTCAATGTACGAGCATTACGAGCACGAGTCACTTCGGATGATATAGTCAACAATTGTTCGGCAAATGATTCTAATGCTTTAGCTAAACAAACAAATGATCAATAATCAGATTAGATTCGATTCCATAATAATAAATGAATGAACATAAATAAACATACCGATGATGACAGGAACTGCTTGGGCAACTTTTCCAACTTCTTCATCTTTTTGCATAATTTTTTTAATTCTTGCCGGCGGAAATCGAGCATTGAAACGTTTCTTTTTTGAAGGCATTGTCGGTAGGTGGTGGTTTTAAATATTTAACAATGAACTATTTATGATAAAATGAATCAATTGAAATCGAAAATAAAATTGAAAATGACACAATCATATGTTTATATTTACCGATTTTTCGAAATTAAACAACAACAACAAAAACTTGATTCGATGAATAAATTATCGTCGTTGTTCAGAATAATTTTTCTGTCAAATCTTTTGCATCAATCAGCAGCAGCAATTCAATGTCATCGGATTAATAAATATTAATCAATAAATGAATCAAAAAAGCCAATTATAACCGAAATTAAATAGAAAAAAACCCGAAAAAAATCTCAAAATAGATGAGAAAAAAAAACTCGGAATGAAAAAAAAAATTGTAATTGTAATAAGAAAATATAAACGAGTAACAAATGTACCACTACCGCTATTGTCAAATGATGACAATGATGAATGGTAGTAGTATACGGTGACATTATTGCAATTCACACACACACACACACTGCTTTCTAGGTAGTGGACTGTGTGATTACATATATTCTGATATATTCACAATTTTTTTTTTTACCAATTAAACTAGCGGTCCATGTGCAAAAATCAAACGCATGCTCAGATGGAATTAATCATGAAAAAAAAACAAGTCGTACGTTCTTTATGATTGATCATCATCAAAATTCACATATATCAATTGTAATCGATTTTAATGTGTATTTAATTTAATGTGACACAACATGTGATACGAATGACCCTCGTTTTGTGTAAATGTGTGATTAAAAAAAAAAAAGATTCAACAATTTTTTTTACATAATTTTTCTCTATATATTCAAAGTGAATTATCATTGATTTCAATAGTAATAATAAATAATTAAATGGAAGAATATTCACGTGAACCATGTCCATGGCGTATTGTGGACGATTGTGGTGGTGCATTTACCATGGGTGCAATCGGTGGTGGTGTTTTCCAAGCTATAAAAGGATTTCGTAATGCACCATCAGGATTTTCAAGACGTACAACCGGTGCCTGGTCAACAGTTAGATCTCGTGCACCAGTTATTGGTGGTAATTTTGCCGTATGGGGTGGTTTATTCTCCACCATTGATTGTTCATTAATATATTTACGTAAAAAAGAAGATCCATGGAATTCAATAACATCTGGTGCTTTAACTGGTGCCATTCTATCTGTTAGAAGTATGTGTTTGTAAACATTTTTTTTTGTCTATTCAGAATTAATCAATTTTCACATTTATTTCTGATTAGATGGAACCGGTGCAATGATTGGATCGGCTATAATTGGTGGTGTACTTTTAGCATTGATCGAAGGTATGGGTATATTATTTATGCGTTATACATCCGAACAATTTCGGCCACAAAATCCATTGGAAGATCCAACACAATTGGGTTCACCAATTCCATCGTCATCATCATCATCATCACCATCATCTTTATCTGATCAAATGGCATCACCATTTGCAACACAACCACAATATCAATAATAATATGTGAATTTATTGAATGTAACATCATTTTTTTTGTTCATAATAATCACACACACACACACACATTTCATTTATCTGATTTTTTGTGTAATAATCACCTTTACAAAATGAAAATGATCCAATTTACTATTGTAGTTTTTTTTCTTTGTTTTGTTTTTTTTTTTGTTGTTCATTCAATGAATACAATTTCAATTTACAATAGGATTTTTTGTTTATCATAAAAAGAATAATTAATAAGAGAAAACGAATAAGTTTTAGGTTTAAATTAAAAAAATGTTAAAATTTTATAATAATTTGAGAAATTTAACAATTTAATTTAATTGAATTTTGTCTTGTTCGGATTCAGCAAAGCTCTTTTACTATCAAATTCATTGCCATTTTCTTGTTGTTGTTGTTGTTGAATGATTTCTGGTTTACGTACCTTTCGATAAGGAGCTTTAATACGTTCATCAATGGTTAGTATTAATTTTCTTGCTTGTTTTGGTTTTGCACCCGGTCCTTTAATACGATATTGAGCAGCTATACATGGTTTGAATACCAATGACCACCATAATCGTGGATCTTTAATCATATGAATAAAAATATTTGGCATTAATCCAGCTGAACGAGCCACCATATCCATATAATCCATCATTTCAACTTCGAATCGAAAATGATCAACTCTATCAGCACCAAATCGATCTGCTACCCATATTCTATCGTTTTCAATTTTTTTAAACATTTTCTTCACACTTGGAAGTGGTTTACATTGGCCAGTCAATAGTAAACAAAACCAACGAGATTGAATCTCTGATATTGGTGGTAAACTACCATTGGCAGCCGGTAATCCAATGAATGCCAACCGTTCAGGTTGTGGTTGACGTGGATCAAAAACATGTTTATAAAGATCGAATCGTCCATTTGAAGTGTCAAATACTTCCGATGTAATGAAAGGAAATGAATGTTCATAACCAGTGGCCATTACAACTAAATCACATTCAGTAACATGGCCATTATCACGTTCGAATACAACACCATTCGGTGTAAAACGTTCAATACCAAAACGCATTTTAATCCATCCTAAATGAATATAGGTAGGAATATGGTCATTGATCATTGCATGTTGTTCAAAAAATCGTATATTTTCCGGCCGAAGTCCAAGTAAATCATGACCAACCATTCGTGAGGCTAAAAATTCCATTACCGAACATCGTAATGAATATGGTAATGTATGAAGAGCGCCCATAAAAGCACGGCGAATACCGACAGTATCAACAGGTTGTCCACCAAGACCAGTACGTCGTAATAACCATGTTCCACCGTTACGAGAGGAAAGATAAACTTGTTTAGCCACGGGAGCTGCTTCAGCAGCAACATCACCACCGGAATTACCGATACCAAGCACTACAATACGTTTATCGATAAAATCTTCATTGTTCAATATGGATCTAACTTCATGTGAATGAATGATTTTTCCTTGAAATGTTTCTTGACCAGGAAATGTAGGAGATTTAGGTGTATGATGATGTCCGCTACAAACAGCCACAGCATCATATCGTAATGTTTGAATGAAATCATTATTAAGATCTTTAACGGTTACCATATATCCATCATTTGGATCTTTAGCATGTTCTATTCGTAGTACGTCATGAGAGAATCTAACATGTGATTCTAATTGAAATTCTTTTCCATAATTCACAAGATATTCGTACTGTCAAATGGGGAAAAAAATAATCCAACAATCGATAATCAAAACAATCAACACACATACCATTAATTCATTGGGCATAAAATTCGGATAATCATCAGGAAATGGATAATCAGAAAAAGCGGTCATAACTTTACTAGAATTAACCACTGTACTACGCATAACGGATCCTTGACCAGGTTCCACTAGTTCACGAAAACGCCATAATCCACCTAAATTTTTTGTACGTTCATAAACAACAGGTTCAATACCATATTCAAGACAAGATTTAGCTGTAACCATTCCACTTATACCAGCACCGATAATACAAACGATTTTATTTTTGTTTGATTTTGTCGATTGATCCATCTTGAATGTTGAATATGAAATCCAATGGCAATCTTTTATGGCTACTTTGAATCGAATGTAACGAATCAGTCAAACACAACAGAATACACATGAATTTTAATGGCAAGAAAATTTTCTTATTAAAATTATCTTGCAGTTCTTTTTTTTGAATAATAATAACACATTAAGAAGAAGATAAACAAGTTTTTTTTCCTTTCATTAACGTCAAGAATCGGGATTTGTGTTGGATGAGTAAAACAAAATCAATGAACCATCAATATGGATAATTTCTTCTTTATGTATGGACAAAATCAAAATCAAAACAAAACAAAACAGCATACAGCATCAACGAATAATAAAATAATATGATGATGATGATGAAGAGGAAAAAAAACATTGATAAACTCACATTCAAAAGTGGAATAGAGTAGTGTTTTTGAGAACAAAAAACAAAACAAAAAAAAACATGTTTGAGAGCTTCGATCAACGATCAGAGCACTCATTAAGAAATAATCATTGATTTTTAGCAGATAAAAAAAGGAAAACAACAATTTGGACAACATTATATCATCATACATCATTACATATATATATTGTCGTAATCAATTCAATGACGATGATGATTACCTAAATATGACCAAAAAAAAACAAGATCAATATACAATAGTGAATGTAATTGGTGAAATATCCAAAATCGTCATATAAATATTTCTTCTGGTTTTTTTTTCACCCACAAATCATGAATGAAAATGAAAGACCTTTGGTTTGGCAAACAAACAAACAAAAAAAAAAAAAAAATGCAACAAGTGAAAGTGGTTTTTCCTACATGAAAAAGCTTGTTCGGTTGCAAAAAAAAATAAAAAAAAAAAATCAGCGACAAATGTTTGTGTGTTTGACCGAATTTTTTTTTTTTTTTTTTACTACATGACCATTCTCATCCATATTTTATCAAATATATTCATGATTAAGATATGCAGAGAGAGAAAAAAACAAATCATCTGCTTGTATATCGATGCTTGTTGTTATTGTTGATAACAAATTTCATTTGATGGCCATGAAATGAATTGATTATTATTATCGATTATTATCGATTAACTAATTATCATTTTTAGCAATAGCTATTTATAAATATATAACCAAGTGAATGAATAATATTGAAAATTCCTTAGCTTATGTGATGTGATTTCTTTTTCTTTTTTATGTTTCACTGGCACGATATATATTATATTTATAGAATGAAGAAACAAAACCAACAAAAAAGCCAAGTTTTCTTTTCATTGAAAACAAAAAACACTGACGTTTGTTGACAATTGTTGAATTAATCAACACACAACAATTACAATGAAATTTATACGTTGAAAATAAATTTTTATTGTATCAGCTTGTTAAATTGATTTTTGATTAATCATTGTATTTTTCATTTTGCATTTTTATTAATCAATTCATCCAATTCATCAAATTTTTAATTAATTTAAATTTCAATATTATGTAAGGATGTACAAATCAAGGTTGCTAATAAATAATTTGAAACATAATTGTAAGTTGTAATTCTTTTGCTATTGACATGTTCAATGTTTTATTCCTTTCTGTATTGAATTTTTTCAAGTTTTTTTGGAAAAATGGACAAACTGGCAAATAATGACAAGCGATACATTCGCGAAAAGTTGACTAAAATAAGCGAGAGCAGATTATTTGCAAGAAAGCCAAGAGCGCAATCGCCGCTTATTCTCAACTAATTAAAAAGAAGAATGTGGGGAATTGCCGAGAAAAATGAAACAATTTGTTTTGAGGTGTGTTGCAATATTGAAAAAAATTAATTGTTGTATTGAAATATGTATACGTTTGAATCTTTTTTGAATTATAGTATTGTTTGATATTGATTCTTGGGAACGAATCAATAATCACATGATATCAATTTCCCAAAGCGATTTGCCCGAGTTTCATTTAATGAAACTGAAACAAGATCTGGAACGGGCTAATCGTTTAAAAACAAATTCAAAATCTGTAAGTTACTACTAAAATACGTAATTCAAACTAATTGTGTAAATTTTTTCGATAATTGTATTGTAGACAAAAAAAGTCAATTCGATCCAAATAATGCTTTGTTAAATGAAATGTATAAGTTTGATATATTCAATATATCTTTCTTTTTATTTTAGCAAAGGATGGATCAATTCCAGTCACCGATCATCCATTTCCCACACATAAAAAAAAATTGTCAGAGAAATTCTGAATGAAATTGGAACGTTTTTAGAAGTAATTGAATTGATTACAATTTTATCGATAAGTTTTCATAAGCATGATACACACACACACACACAGAAATAGAAAGTATGGAGAAAAAAAAAAACGAAAACAAAATTCGATCCAGAATTATAAATGCAATGGATGGATTTACAGATACAGGTGTTTTGTATAATTAAGGATAAAAGAAATTTCATTGCTTGAATGCAATATTCATGATTTTGTAAACAATCTATTCGTGGTCATAATTACCACTTCATCAGAATTTTTTTTTTGAAAAAAAATAACGACAAACGCACAAAGATCCAGATTTTAATTTGATTGTTTTTGTTTTTCCACAAAGGCAACAACAACAACAACAAATTCTTGTTTTTTTATGGCTAATAATTGAACATTTATTTATTTGAATTTGAATAAATATTACAATAATAATAAGCATCATCATCATCATCATCATCATTATCGATTGATTATTGTCATCAACAACAATCGATAATAATTAATGATGATGATGATGATGATTATTTTTTAAGTATACTTGAGAGTGTACGTCAATGTATAATTATATAAATATATATGTTGATTCGATCAGTATATATCATCAGTTAATTATTGATTCGAATTTTCATATATTACACATATGCACGAATTATTAGTTATTTTTTCGCTCATTCACATTCAATATCGATTTGTTGTTGTTGTTGTATACCAGAAGAAAAAAAGAAGAGAAAAAAAGGATTCATTTCATTCAATTGAAAAGAATGAACTGAAGTTATTTACAAACATGGAAAAAAATAGTAGAGCGAACCAAAAAAAAAAAAAAAAAAAAAAAAAATTCTGTTGATTTGAGTTGAATAAATTGTGAACGAATTGAGAATAAGAATTTCATATATAAATATGTGACACATGTTAAATCATCAACATCGTTATATATAAAGAATTGATGTTTTTGATAGTTTTATAGCAGATTTTATATGTATAAACAAGAAAAAATTAATGTTTTGAGGTTCAGTATTTATTTTTTGTTTTTGTTTTGTTTTGTTTTGTTTTTAAAAAAAAAATATGGACAAAAAAATAGTGACCAAATTAGATGATGATGATCATGATGATCATGATGTGAAAGGAAAAAAATGATGATGAAATGTATTGAGAATATTTTTAGAGCAAAGTTTTTTTAAAAAAATGTTTTGGAAACCTCAATTTACTTTGATGGTGTGATGGGCAAAGGCTAATTAATAAATGGTTGATTTTAAAAAATAATTTACATTTGTATATTCATATATGAATGAATGTGTGTGTGTGTGTGTTGTTTCGTATATATTATTTTTTTTCATGTTTGAACAGAATTTCTTGTGTAGATGAGAAAAGAGATCGATTTTTTCGTTATAAAAAAGAGAAAAATGAGTTTTTTTTGTTTTGTTTTGTTTTTTTTTTTGAGGAAAAGATCGGTTAATTTTCCGTATGAGTTTCATCACTTTCAACAAACGAATATCGAAATCGTTTGGATGATGAATCGGCGGATGATGAATCTGTATTTGATTCTGTGCCGGTACCAGTATTGAATAGCTGTTCTATTTTTGATGTTGCGACATTAGATTGATGATCATTATCAATATCTTGTTCAAGATCGTCATCATCATCATCATCATTGTCATCATTGTTTTCCTCAGATGATTTTCGTTTCCTATTGACCATTAGATTCTCTTTTTCATTATTATCATCACTAGTTGTTGTATCTTCAGCAACCGATTGTTCATCTTGCAAAGAACTACTAACTCGTTCATCATTGATTTTATTATTCAGGGATTCAGATTTTTTATCAGATCCATTTGTTTTGGATTCTGAAATTGATGACGTTTCATGAACTACGGTGGCGCTACAACCACTGTTATTATTGTTGACCACCGGATTATTTTTAGCAAGCTTCAAACTACCAGATCGACAATGATGCTGATGATGTTTGGAACATGACTTTGGTTCTTTATGTTTTTTGATTATACAGGTACTATCTTCATCACCGGATGTAGTCGCTTTGTTCAATTGGACACGAATGTTCATGTTTGAAGGACAATGAGGAATGAAAGGATGTTCTTCCTTTATGTCATTAACATTTTCTTCTTCACTATAATCATTATCATTATCGTCTTCATCTTCTACATTCTCTTCTTCTTTTTGGGTGTCTGATGCCTCTGAGCTATCATCTTCGTCTGAAGAATCTTCATCTGGATAATCAACCAAAGCCTGTTAAAAAAGAAAAAATCCATATTAGGTTTCAAGTCAATAAGAGACAAGTATTAGTACAAACCTTTCGAGACAAAACGGTTTCAGCAGTCGATTTACCGGTCAGATTATTATTATTGAGATTATGGAATGCTGCAGCAGCAGCTGCAATATGCTGTCCCATCGTTGATAATTGATGCGGATGAGAATTGTTTGTCATGTTGGTGGTATTGGTACGGAATTGTTGATTTGCAGTAGTTGTCGTCCCTGTCACTGATGTCGCGGTTACAGTATCTTGAGAACTTTGTTGAACACCAGCAGCTGCCGCTACAGCTACAGCCGCTATAGACGAATTAATTGATGAAAATGATAGGCCACTACTGAAAGCACTGAGAACATTATTGCAAGATGTTTTTGGTTGATTCGCTTGTGATTGCTGGGTATAATTACTAGTATTCTGAGTGCTCAATGATCCAGAAGCTGAAGTTAGATAATTTGTCGTTTTATGATTCAAATTTATAGCTGTATTGTTAGCAAACAATTAATGATAATGGTCTAAATCAAATAAATCTAAAAACTTACTTAATTTACGATCATTGCTTTTCTTTTTGGCGATAGACATTAATCCGGAAACCGAACCCATTGTACCACTGACCGTTTGTGTAGCTCCTGAAGTGGCAGCTGCTACAGACGCTAATGACGAAAAGAATGGCGAATCTACAAATGCAACGGCAGTACTGTTTGTGCCTGCTGATGAAACTGCACCACTATCATGATGGTACAAAGAATTAGTGGCAGCGGTTAGACTGTTATAACTGGAAGATGATGAACTGGACGAAGAACCAGATGAACTTGTGTTTGTGCCAGAATGCAATGATGAAATGTGTAGATGATGTTGGTGATGATGCAAAACAGTTCCGGGATTACTTGAAGTGCCGATTTTTCCAACTTGATGGTGATGTAATGATGGTTCATGTTGACCATAAAGATGGTGTGCAGCTGCTGCGGCCGCAGCAGCATTATCTATTGGATCAGCACCACCGGCAGCGGCTGAAAGTACTGCAGACGCAGAATTTAGTGCCAAATGATTTCCAAGCACATTTGATGTTTGATTTGAATCAGGAGAAGAACCAACGGAAATACTTCCAGGAATCAAATCATCATCCTCTTCTTCACCTGAATGATGATGGTGGTGATGATGATGATCAACACCATGATGTGGATAATTCATACTGCTAACCCCAATATCGTCATCGTCATCATCATCATCATCAGGACATTCTTCTTCTTCTTCATCATCATCGGTGTTAAACCACATATCTTCCTCTTTATCCAATTGCCTTGGATCTCGTCGAAACCGATGATGTGTCGATGGTGAGGATTGGGCATTTGTCGCCGTTCTCATCCAAGGCAATAATGGATGAGATCTAAAAAATTATACAATGTTTATAAATATCTATTTATAAATAAATTGAATTGCTTATCAGAACATACAGATTAGAACTCCGATGCTGCTGTTGTTGTTGATCGAATCGACGTTTCATTGATTTGAAAGTACGAACATAATCAATTCGTTCAAGTTTGTTTTTCCAAAAACGTTTTATAGTATATGTTAACAATGTTTGAATTTCATTTTGATCGATAAATTCAAACAGATCAATAACTGCTGAATCCAAGAGATTATATCGACCTCGATTCGATAGGAAGGCATCGACAATTGGTTGAAATTGATTTAAGGTTTCAATATGACGGTTATAGAATTCATCTTTTAGACCGACCAATTTTCGCATGAAACGTATAACCGCTAATTGGTAAAAAAGAATAATCAATCAGGTTCGTTCAATATTCAAAATGAACAACTTACTTAGCACTAGGAATGTATGACGTGATTTGGTCAGAATCATGATACGACGAATAATTTCTTTATTTATTAAATATGATCGAATATGATGAGCATGATGCTCGATACAGAATGTCAACAACTCGAGTATTATGGCCAATAATTGTGCTGCTTGGCAGGAATTCTCGAAAAGTAATTTTAATGGTTCAGTGTTGCTTAATATTGTTGTTGTGTTAGTCACCGAGCTTGTTGTTGTCGTCGATGATGGTGTTGTTGTGGTAGAAAAGTTTGAATGATTTGCTAATGAAACATTTGCAGTTGGTTGTCCATTACTATGATTGTTATGTAATGTAAGATCTAGTTGATTTGTTGTCGAAGTTGGAGGTGGTGGTGGTAAAGATGTGGCTGATGAAGCTGTAGCAGCTAAAATCGGTGCCGTCAGATAACAGATACAGTGTTTGTAGAAATAATTTAAAAATTCCGATTTCTCCGTTTTCTATATATATAATATGAAAGATTGGTGAATTCAAAAAAAAGAACAATTTGATTTTAAACATACGTTCAATGCAGGAGTAGTGAGCATATTATCCGGATCAATGATCATCTTTAAAATCCCTGATAATTGTTGCGCCATGCCTAGATCAGGATCAATATCACAAATCATTTGTTCAATGATTATATTTATTATATATTGTTCCGCTGGCTGTTGATTAAAACAAAAAAAGGATTGATAATTAATAATATATAACAATCAAAATTGAACAACCAATATTACCTTATCTGTATTCATTTCTTGTTGAAGGGCATATTCACGAACCATCGATGGTGAATAATCAACAACATAGGTTAGGAGATCGACAGCACCCAATTTGATGGCAGCATCATCACAAATCAATAATGTTTCGATTGTTTGTAACAAACCAGATGAAGATAGGGTTTTGATGAAAAATTCACGATTTTGTAACGTATGTGAGAATGTACACAATTCTTTCAGGAACAAAACCAAATCACGACGTTTTTCTTGAAACGATGGTTCCGTGTCGGAAAGTTGACGAAACAATTCTTTTAAGAACTTTTCGTCATCTTGTATCGATGTGACAATTTCAATCTAAAAATAAACGAATTAAACAATAATAATAATATAAAATAAAAGAAACAATTTTGAAAAAAATCAAACCTTATTAAAAAAGAGTAGAGAAGATAACGTGGATAGCATATTGTCTTCGAATATTGATGGCGATGGCATTATAACATCCTGAATATATTGCACACGATATGTTTGATGGATTTTGGAAACAAGTTCAGATTTACTCAATGGTATAACCTCTTTGAAACGGGAAACATTTTGAAGAAATTCACGGTGACGTTTTTCTCTTACTAAACGCATCAATTCTGATTCAGATGATGATGGTAAATATGTGAAATATGATTGCGATTGTGATGATAATGTATGCGGCGTTTGTGTCGTTGTACTCGACGATGTGGATGATGATGGTTGTTGTGACAATCTTTGTTGTTGTTGTTGAATGTTTATGTTGTTTGTCTTGGCTTGATATTCTCGTACACGAGCACCATTTGGATCATATTCAAAGATACCGATTACGTCACAAATTGCCTGATCTGATATCATAATCTCAATCAAAGTACCCTTGTTCAATAGGAAAATATTTTTGAATATTTCATAAATTTTTTGTAATGCCGGAATATCTTGCCGTTCTTCGAGTTGTCGAAATAATTCCAACAGTTTAAGGATATAATTATCATTTTCAAGCGCTAAAGTGATATTGTCTTTTTTGCTAGCTGTTGTTAACGATGATGTAAGAATGGAATTGATCTCATCCAAACGATTCACTTCGATTGGAGGTAATTCTAGTCATGATCATTCAATGATTAAATTCAAACTCAAAAAAATGTAAATATCAACTTACCATTGTCTTCGTCTTCGATCAAATCCTGAGTGATGTCTACCGAAGGATCTTTACCTTGAACTTGACATATTTTGGCCCAAATTTCCTCACATCCAATACGTTCTTGGAACGATAATGCTAAATCATAGTTTTCACCTTCTGACCATACAATCAAAGTATCTTGTTGTTTTTGGTATGCGGTATCGGGCATTATTTTTGATTCCAACAATGTTGAACCATCGGTTTCGGCTCTGACCAATAATGACATACCGTTCAAACGATCAATATAACTAGATGATACATGTCCAGTGCCACGATCATCCCATGTTCGATTTGCATTCAACATGTACAATTTGACACGACGACGAGTATCGGTTGGATTACTGTTGGAAAATATTGATGAAGATTCTGTCGTTGTAGTTGATGATTGATCTGATGATGTTTTATTTGATGATGCAATGTTATTATTATTATTATTATTGTTAGATGTCGACGTCGTGGATACAGTTTTCGAAGTTGCTGTTGTAGTTGATGGTTGAGATTCATTTTTTGGACCTATCTCTTGCTGATGTTCACTACAAATCAAAACATCTGAATCAAGATCATCATCTCTTTCAATATCATCACTAGCTTTAAGATTTTCAGCTATCGATTCAGATACATGTGGCACGGTAGTGATAGAGGAAGTATCATCATCCTCATCGACGTCATCTTCATCATCATCATCAGCATCGCCATCATCATCATCTTCATCATTGATTGAATTTGATGATGAAAATTGTCTATTATTGTTGATCGAATCTGTCGATGAATTTGTTGCAGATGAAGTCACTGATGCTGATGATGAAGATGATGATGATGATGACGATGATGTTGACATTTGTGAATCAGAATCATCTTCATTTGTTGAAATTTTATTAATTTCTTTATCGGTAGACATTGGCTATGATTCAATTTTTCTTTTATGTTGTTGTTGTTGTTGAAAATACTTTAAATGGTAAACAAAACAAAACAAAAAATAGATGAAAAAAAAGATTAATTAGTTACATTCCAAATGTGTGAATATTTTTAATTTATTAATCAAAAAAAAAAAAAAAAAAACAAAAATTCAACGACAAAAATGTAAATAAATTGCAATGACATGTATGAAATGCACACAATATATATCGTGTGCATTTTTTTTTTTTCTAAATTTTATTATTCGATTTATTATTATACACTAGAAATGTTTGGAAAAAAAATCAATAATCAATAATTAATAGATAGATTTCTATTTACTATCAATATTATCGAATCTATAATATCATATACAAATCACAAATTTTTTTATCTTATTTTGATTTGTTAATAGATTTTACATTACAATAGCCTTAACATACATCTTGCTAAATACTATGAGACCAAATTTCACAATTATATGATAATGGCCATCTAGTCGGATCAACAACAACAACAAAAAAATAGTCATTTTATCAATAGAATCAAAAAAAAAAAAAAAAAATTTTGTGTGATAAATACAACAAATCATCATCATGAAATGTGAAAAAGATGATAACAACCAGTTTGATAATGGGTGAAGAGAGAGAGAGAGAGAGAAATAAATGAATTTTTTTTACTAATTTCAAAACTGTCATGTATGTTTCATAATGATTGTCCTGGAAAAAAAATGGATTGTATTCTTACCGATCATTGAAAAAAAAACAAAACAAAATTCGAATTCAATATTGTCTTCGTTGAAGGGTTCGAAGAAAATCAACAAATCGAATTGTATATACTTTATATCAATAATCGAGTGAATAATAATTGACTATATAGTTGAAAAATGAAATCTTTAACCAAAAAAATGTCTTATCATTATATGATGATGATTTGTCATGATAGCCACATGAAATAAAAACAATATATAAATATAATAAATCCAACAATATTATACATCAAAAAATAGTTTTTTTTTTCATTTGAAATTAATTACATTTTTCATTTCATCGCGCCGTTAATAATTATCGATGGATTTAAAATTTTTTTTTTTTTTTTTATTTATCTGAAAAGTAAATATAAACCAGATATAGAATCAATAATATTGACAAATGAATTAGAATGGAAACAAACCTTTTGTGACCAATATAGATAGATAGAGATGGATTGTATATGATTGACAATGATATATTTCAATGTTTTTTTGAATTAATGGATAGTTCAGATGATAATGATAATGATGATGATGATGATGCACATAAAAAAAATGGATACGATAGATAGATATACAAGAATCAATCAATCACCATATAAACACAAAACAATACAAAGAATATAAAAAAAATTCAATGAATTATTATGTGAAACGCTGAAAAAAAAATAGAGAAAGAAAGAGAGAGCCAAAAAAAAAATTAGAATGACGAGGTTACACACACACACACACACACAAGTTCGAATGCTAGCAGTATAATAATAAAATGGTAGTAGTATTCGACAACGTTAATGTCTGTGTGTGTGTGTATATGTAAAACTTTGATCTTTTTAGTAAAAAAAGGAGAATAAAGAGGAGGAGGAGGAGGAGGATTATCAAACTATTTGATCCACAATATTCTTTAGCTACTACCTTTTTTTTCACAGAATCCATCCATTTCATTTTTATTTTATTTGTTTGTTATGAAGATGAAAAATAGATAGGTGTGTTATTTGAGCGTGTGTGTGTGTGTGTGTGTGTGTAGTAGTAGTATTATATAACGATAAATTTTTCGCGCGCATAGGAAAAAAAAATAGTTGTTGTTATTGTTGTTCTTGTTGTTTATACCGGCCAACACACAAAAAAAAAACACACACACACACACACACACACAGACAGACATACGCACATTATACATGCATGCATGAAAAAAAAATAATAAAGAGAGGGGGAAATGGCGGCTATATCTGTTGGTGGTAGTGGCATTTTTTTTTTTTTTTTTTTTAGATGAACGTGACATGAATAGATTTTTTTAGAAGCATATTTATACAATGTTAGTTGTTTTCGAATCTACGATATTATTGCCCAATTTATATGTTGAAATGAATTTTTTTTTTTTTGATTTCAACATTGAATTTTGAAAAAAAAAATTCTATTAAAAATGATCAAATTGTTTTGGATTTTCAATTTTATTTGATTTTGTTTTTGATCAACAAAATACATTGGAATGGATTTTATTAGGGTCGAACATAATTTTATGTTGATTTGATTTTTTTTTCGTTACTGCTGCCTATTATTGACATTTCCGAAACCATTTTGATCAATTGAATTTTCATATATGAAAACATCGATCGATCATTGATTAATACACGTAGTTTTAGGGAGAAACCCAGGTGAAATATTCATCGAATAATTACACTTGATTGGCGATTAATTGTCGAAATTCTTAATGCGCGCGTAATCTAAAACGTTTTCGAAATTACCGAAAATATTCCATAAAGTATTTTCACAAGAAAGTTTCTAATTTTTTTTCCCAATCCTATTTGATTAAAATACGGACAAATAATAATAGAACAACGACATTGATAATATATAGTATTAAAGAAAAAAAAACGACATTTAATCCTGATAATAACTGAGATTGTCAAATCGAAAAACAAGAATCGATCCATTTCGAAAACATTTAACTTCCGACTAGCCAATATCGACTAGTTCGATCTTCGATTTTATCATACGATCGATCTCGAACCTGCCTGTTTATAATAACACAATCGGATAAGCATCGGATTTTCCATTCAGCATTCATATGTGTATGATCTGATTCGGAAATCGATCATAAGGATATTGGTCAATTCATTTTTTGGACAACAGCTGCCGGTTTTGATCGCGAGCAAATAGAGAGAGAGAGAGGGGACGTTCTTGTTTGGCACACAACGTGTTGTGTACATTGTCTATTGCAGTTTGGCTAGTTTGTTGTTGGCTGCGTGTGTGTGTGTGTGTGTGTTTGTGGCTGTATATGAGTCTGCACAAAGACATGTACTTTTCGATCACACAATTACTTTCTCGCCGCTCTTGATTTTGTGTTTGTCCAAATAATAAAAAGTTTTGTTGTTGTTGTGATCACTTGATACTTCGAAACAATTGTTACTTCGAAAATTTCCCGTAAGTATCGATCCGATCATCATTATCATAATTTATTTTTTCAATTTGATCCTCATATTGATATTGTTAATCATCATTAAAAAAATAAATATAGTTGACATTGACAATGTCTTCGGAATGTGAATACGAAATCGATCAACAAGGTGAAGGTGGTTCTGATGATCACCATTCAGATATGATTGTCGAACAACATGACACTCCAAATGTCAATGAATTTATGGTCGCTCAAGAGATGATCATCGCTAATGATGTTGAAGCTGAAGCCGAAGATGACGATGATATGGTTGATGATGATGATGACGTTGAGGAAGATTCTGAAATTGACATTAATCAAAATGGTAATCGAAGCATGATACAATATAATGATGATGGTGAGAATCAAAATTCATCCAACAATGAAGATTCAAGTGGTGGTGATGGAGGTTCTGATTCTGGTTCGGAAGCTGAATCCGGTTCATCCAATGACGATGATGATGATGATGATGATGACGAAGAATCTTCAGGTGATAAAGACGAACAACAATCATTACAACAAAACGATGAAGAGGATGATGACGAAGATGATGAAGATGAAGAAATCGATATAAATCCTGAATCAGAAAACAATCAACAAGAACAATCAAAACCAAGCTCACCATTGATGATTAATCATCAATCGCAAGAGATCAAATCATCTGGACAGCCACCAACATGTAAACAATCATCGGCTGATCAGCAACAATCACGTGATGATTCAGTCGTCGATCAGAATGAACAAATTGATGATGATGATGATGATGATGAACAAGAAGATAATCATGAACAATCTGAACCAAAACAATCCGAAAGAAAACCACGACAAGGTTATGAAGATGAAGCTGAAATCGTTAAGAATTGTGATGAAAATGGTGTATATGGATGGGAAGATTTTCAAAATACAAAAGTAAAACCATTCTCTAAAGAAGAATATGAACGATTTCAGCAACCATTTCAATATGGTTGGAAACGTGAACTTGTACTTCGATGCACTGGTAATCGTGGTGATAAAAAAGCCGGCGATGTTTATTATCATACACCAAATGGTTCAGCAAAACTTCGAAGTTATGTTGAAATGAATTTATTCTTGCGACGTAATCCTCAGATTACTGAATTGAATGTAACAAATTTTACATTTGCTAAACAGCCAATATATCGTCCACCGAATGAAATAGTTCGTCATGCTATGCAACGTGGAGCCAATTTTGTTGAACGTCCATTTGCATTTAATCAACATATACGAGCTAAACAACAATCACAACAACAACAACAAAATAATAATCAACAAAGAAAATCTATCTCAAATCAATCATTATCACTTATTGCGACCAATAATAATAATAATAATTCTATTATATCAAATAATGAAGATTCTAATGATCATACTGATGGTGGATTTGGTCGCGGTAAACGTAAACGTGTTGTACCATCACGTTATGATGATGAAGAAGTTGATCTACCAATGAACAAACGTAACAAACAAAATCATTCGAATCGTGAATCATATTCAAATAGTAATTCAAATGATGGCCATTCACCACAATCATCAAATAAAACATCGACAACAACTGGATCGGCAACGAAAATGTCGGCACAGGAACGACGACGTGCACTACAACAACAATTATATCATCAGGTTAATGAAGAAGTGAAACGAGAAAAGGAACGTCAACAGCAGCAGCAGCAACAAAAACAACAACGATCGGCAGCTACTGTATCAACTAGTGCAGACAAAGAATCTGGTCGAGGTTCATCGTTACTTAAAATGAAAATCATTAAAGGACAAAATGGAAATCGAAAAGTTGATCAAAATGGTGAATTATCACTTTTAACGAAAGATTCTGTTTCTAATCAACAGCAGCAGCAACAACAACAACAGAATGGTCATGTTGATGATGAGAACGATATTAAAGATCAACCACAACAACAACAAGAAGAACAAAAACAATCCGAACATCGTATGAAAGATGATGATGAAGTACAGCCGCCACATTGTCGTCAACCATGTAGTACTAATTGTCCAGGTCGAAGAAATGTATTGCCCAATCTAATGTGTTATCGTTGTTTCTGTCTATTTCATTTGGAATGTGTTCCGGATGGTGTTTTTCTTCAAAACAATCTATTTGCTTGTCCAAATTGTGTGACGGACGATGATCGAGCAACAGATGAATCGGCCATTAAAAATGGTAATATGGAAACAACAACCACCACCACTATACCGATCACTTCGTCCACATCTACAACATCGTTATTGATGGCAAATAATAATTCAAAATCATTGATGAAAAAATTGAATCCAAATTCATTATTATTGAAACAACAATTGACTAATCCATCGAATTCATCATCATCATCATCATCAACACGTCAAAATAATCATTCCATGATCAATGGTAAAATCTATAGAATTGAAATAAAAAATTTTCCATTAATAACTTTTTTCCCTTTGTTTTAAAAAGATGCCACCCCATTGAATGTTGGTTCATCGAATAAAAAATTATCAAAATTTCAACGTAAACCTAATAATAATAATGAATCTTTATTATCAATGAATGGCCATAATAATAATAATCATCATCATCAGCATTCGAATTCAATGAAAAATATGAATGGACTAATGCATACATCATCAAATCATTTAAATAAAAATCATTCAGATGGTTTTCATAATGTTAAAAATAAAAAAACATCCAAACGTATTGGTATGTTATTTTTTCATTCACCATTGTTGATCAATTTATTTTATTTGTGAATTTTGTTTGTTTGTTTATCTAGTTCCTCATTATTTATCGACATCACCTTCGTTATCACCTCATCATCATAATTCAAATTCATTTTCAACACAATCTTTAAAATTTCAACCAGGTATCAATCATATTTATCGTTTAGCAGAATCGGCTAATGGACGTTCGGTTGTTATTAAAGATCGAACACAACCATTACCATTGTTGGTTAATGGTCATCATTCATCATCATCAACAGCAACTATAACAATGAATGGTCATCATTCATCTGGAACGAATAATAATTTGACCACAATGAATTATAATTATTTGGATAGTGCACAAAAATTATTACATGAAAATCAAACATTGTTGAATGAAACGGCTCAACAAATGGCACGTACACAATATTATTCAACATTGAATCATGGTGCTGGTGCTGGTGCTGCTGGTGGTGGTAGCTATAATTCAAAACAGCCAATTAATCCAAAATCAAAATGGTTGAAATATCAACAAAAACGTTTCAATTTTTAATCGTTTTGATTCATTATTATCGATTCTTGTAAAGGTTTGTATATAATTATCCATTTCTGTTTTCCTGATTGTTGTTTTCATTTCATTTTTTTTTTGTTTGATTCGAAATAGCTTGTAGAATATCTTGATTTTAAAGACATTTTAAATCTTCGTCTTGTCAATCGACAATGGTCACATTTACTTTCGATGTCTATCATATGGAAACATTTACGTTTGAATTGTTTGCCCATATGTGATTGGGAGAAACTTGGCTCAGCTATCCGATGCTCAAAAATTTGGTTAAAATCCATTGATTTTACCGGCGTTCGTATCGTTTCAAATTCACAGTCTCCTCCTAGCAAATCAAGCATTGACTCGAAATGAAAAAATATGTCATTTCTGGAAAGGATTCCAACAAATTTTACCTGAAATTGATAATATTGAATTGCTTAAATTTGGATCCGTTCCATTGTTTGTAATCGATGATATATTGAATGCAATGGAAAAACAACCATGGACAAGAATTCATACACTTATTGTTTCGAATCTATTCGACAATGTTGATCCGAATCAATCTTGTTCGATAAAATTTTTATCAAAAATTGCTTCAATTAATAATTCATTGAAATTACTTAAATTTGATTCAAATAATGGTTTTGTATTGCACGACGATCCGCATTCTGAACAATATGAATCGATTCTATTGGCATTGAAACAATTATCAAAATTACATACATTTGAATGTGTATCATTGAAAGATTTTACCGTCGAACAATTTGCTCAATTATTTGATCATCTTAACACTAATCGTTTGAAACATTTATCAATTGGAAGTTGTTCCACATGGTTTATTCAGCCAGAAAATGATGATTCATCAAAAGTGGAATGTTTATTCGAAAATTTATCAAAATTTTCCAATCTTACTTTTCTAAGATTACGTGATGTCATAATAAATTCTGGTCACTCAAGTCATTTGGTCAATCTATTTGAATCGTTAATTATTGTCGAAAATTTAATTTTAGAAAATATTATCATACAAGAATCTGGTAAGATTTTTTTTTTTCATTATGATTATCATGAATTGAATTTTTTTTTTTTCTAGCCAAACAAAACTGGACATCATTATTGGCCATGCTGAAATCATTACCATTGCGACAATTTCATCTCAGTTCTTCAGATCCATTTACGAATCGTTCAATTTTCGAATCTTTGATACAATTATTATCCATGCAAAAACGACGATTTTTACATATTCGTTGGTCAATAACAGTGAATATTGATGACATGGGCCATTGTATGGTACCATTATCATTGATATCGTTTAAACATTCAGAATTGAATGATGAACATGGTAAAAAATTTTTGAAACAATATTTTGGATCCATTCAGCCTAATGATGATTCATTTCAATTGATACAATCATCGATTGGATCGTCTGATAAAATGATTATATTGATAGAAATTGAAACATTGAAAAATTTAATTATAACAAAATTGCCCTCTTTTCTTCGCAAAGATCCCAACATTTTTTCATCATTGGAAATTGTTCCACAATAATCACATTTTATTATCAATCAATATATATATGGATTTTGACTGTATTTGCATCTTTTTTTTTGGTTCTAATTTCTAATTAATAAATTCTTCCTAGTCTTGACGAACTATCCACAAACGATTTGTCTATTTTTATATTTATTTTAATCAATTTTTTAACCATGTAATCATTATTATTATTAGTTAGATGCTTTAATTTAAAAAAAAAAATTCAATTTAAAATTTTTTCGATTCATTCATAGACAATGTATATTAGACAACAAAAAAAATAATAATATACCAGTGATAGGGTAGTAGTCTAGAATTAAACTATGAATATAAGAAAAAAGGTGTGACCATGAAAATGTTGTTCATTCTAATATTAATGCCGTTATCATTTTTGTATACCCTTCTTCGCTGTGGTTTATTTCAATGCTACTACATCTGTGATAAAAAAAAATCACCAATTAACTCATTGTATGCATTTTTTTTTGTTTTGTTTGTCTGTTGTTTGTGTGTATGTGTTGTGTGTATATTGGGTTTAGCTTCGTCATCATTCGATGGTATCTGCATTAAATAATTGTGTGTGTGTGTGTGAATGAATACGACGTTGTTGATCATCATCATATTAACCATCAACCATCAACCATCATCATCATCATTGACGACGCATCAATGATTATCATCATCTGAATTTTGCTGCTTCTCTTTTCTTTTTTTTCGGGACCACAAGAACTTCGAGTTTGTAGTGTGTGTGTGTGTGTGTGTTATACCTCTTTGCTTGAATGATTTCATCGGTTCGTCATTATATATTGTTTGTTACTGTTGACGGGCAATCTTTTGTGTTTGATGCTGTTTTTGTTCATCGTTTATTCATCCAGTTTTTTTATACACTATTACTGCTGCTACTGTTGAACATTTTTTTCCACAATTATATTATAAACATCATCATTAATCCCGATATATCAACAATTTTTTTTTTAAACCATCATTTTCATTATTAAGGTTGCAGTTATATTGAATCACATCATACGATTAATATACCAAAATAAAGAGAGTGAGGGAGAGCGAAAGCGATATACGAATCGAATAGTACACACACACATACATGCAAAAGTTTTTTTTTTTGCTTTTCTAGAGCTCAAATATATTGGCGTTTCGTTTTATTATTTGTTACTTTCTCACTTTGTGTGTGTGTAGTATATGATTTTTTTTCTGGTTTTGTGCTATAAAGGGGGGGATCAATCAAATTCCAAATTCCGAATATACATATATTGAATCAATCAAATTCTTTTTTTTTCATACATAACGATTTTTTTATTCGCAACCATCACGAATAGGTAGGCTTCATTTGATTCTTTCTATTCTGTAAACATTTAAATTTATATATATTCTATATATATGCCATGATGATGATTGTTGATATTAATGGAAAGGTAAGTGTTAGTTTTTTGTTTTTTGTCATCCATATTTCAAGTCAACATTAATTCTGTTTTTTGAAGGTTTTGCTGACGTGTAACCATCATCATCATCATCATCATATATGTAATGTGATAATAATAATTACCAAGTTGGCCTTGTATACGTTGTTTTGTTTTTATAATTCCGGAATTTTTATTTATTTCTTTCATCATCAATTTCCTCTTGTCGGAAATTCTTCATTTTTTTCACCGCTAAATAAGCTGCTACCTTTATCTCATATTTCTTTTCGACAATTTTTTTATTATTATTATTAACTACAGATAATTAACGAAACGAGGGGCGTGTTTGTGTGTGTCAAAATTGCTAGTGTGTGTGTGTGTGATTTATTGATTTCCATCTTAAAGTGATGTGAATGTGTGTGTGTTAAGATCCCAAAATTATTACGCAATCAAATGGCTCAAATGAGCATTTTGATTGTGTCGCATTTTGATTTTGATTCCTTTTGTTTTCTCTGATTTTTTAATTTAAAATTTTTTTTGTTCTTTTTTTTCTTTAGATTTTTTTTTAGATTATTGAACTAAACAATTGAAAATCTGGTCTTGATATTTATCTTGTAAATAAATAAATTGTCGAAATTTGTATCAAACAAACAATATCTACAAATTAAAACAAAACAAAACAAAACGAAGAAAAATGAATCCAGATTAGTAAGTTTGAATCATCATTAATCATGATGTTTTTTTTTCAATGAATATTAATCTTTTTCTTTTCTTTTAATGTAGTGATTATTTATTCAAACTTTTATTGATTGGTGATTCCGGTGTTGGTAAATCATGCCTTTTGTTACGTTTTGCCGATGATACATATACGGAATCGTACATTTCCACTATTGGTGTTGATTTTAAAATCCGTACAATTGAATTGGATGGTAAAACCATTAAATTACAGGTAAGTGTATACGTTGTTTATGTTTTTGTTGTTTGGTTAATTTGGAAATTTTTTTTATTCTGATTAGATTTGGGATACAGCCGGTCAAGAACGTTTCCGTACTATAACATCATCATATTATCGTGGTGCACATGGCATAATTGTTGTTTATGATGTAACCGATATGGAAACATTTCAAAATGTTAAACAATGGCTTCAAGAAATTGAACGCTATGCATGCGATAATGTGAATAAATTATTGGTTGGAAATAAAGCTGATGTGATTGCTAAGAAGGTGGTCGATTATACCACAGCCAAAGAATTTGCAGATAATCTAGGTATGTGATAATTATTTTTCTCTGACAAACAAACAATGAATGAATGAATGGTTTTTTTTCTCTTTTTTCAATTTCTAAAAAAAGGCATTCCATTTATCGAAACTTCAGCCAAACAGGCTACAAATGTAGAACAAGCATTCTTAATGATGGCATCAGAAATTAAATCTCGAATCGGTCCATCAACTGCTTCCAACAAAGATACCGGTGGACAAACTATTAATCCAGGACAGACAACTTCAATTCATCAAAAATCAAGTGGTTGTTGTTGAATTTATATACATCGAATCGAATTTATATATCTATGATGAGTATGATTATAATGATCATGTCAAATTGTCTCACAAGAATCGCGATCTTTATTCTGCCCAGCTGCTGTTAAATAACCGTTTGTTCATTTGAACATAATCATACTATATAAACATAATAGTTGTCTCTACATACATACACAAAAACATTTCGGTAAATTCAAACCAAACCTAATGAGATAAAAAACAATTTTCGATCCAAAAAAAAATGTTTGGCGGCAATATTAAACAATTGATATATTACAAAAAAACGTCATATTCTTTTTTCCACAATTTACACACACATCACATACGATCCCTCCCCCACATACAAAAAAAAACATTTATAATAATGCCGATATTTAACAACAACAACAACAAGAAAAAAAATCTTATTTAAAAAATAAATTTTAAAATTGTTGAACTTTTTTACAAGTTTATCATATTTTATCGAATTTATTTATTGACAAGTTTTATGACAAATGAGTTAAAATTGCCGGTATCTCTGATTAATTCATCAAAGTGCTGCTATCTGTTAACAGTGAATAGAACTATGATTCCGTTTATTTCAGTCATATGATAATGTAGTTCATTCTATGATAATAGATGGCAATACAAATACTGTAATGAAAAAAAAAAAATTCTTTATTCAAATTCATCAAAATAATAAAAAATGGAATGGAATAAATTCCGTACAAAATAATGTTCAAATGGAAATTTTATTGGATTTTTTTTCATTGACATTTTTAAAGATATGTGACCGCGCGTGTGTGTGTGGAAAAAATCAAAATTACAAAAAAAAAAGAATAGAAATAATTCGACAAAAGGGCATTTGATTTTCAGAATTCAGAATTTCTCTCTCTCTCTCTCTCTCTCTGGTTCGTTTGGTTAGTGTGTGTGTGCGTGTGTGTTGATGTTTTTATTATTATTATATACAAAACATGATGATAATGATGATGATGATGATGATTGACAATGATTATGGTGTAAAAAATAAAAAATATGTAATGTTGTCAACAATGACATAATGATAATGTTTTTTTTTCTTTTTTTTTTTTGGTTCCATTTTGTAATATTTGTTGCAAAAATATTGACCATTCAATATAAATATATCGATCAATCATTATTGTCAGTAATATTACTATTAGTCGAATGATCATGTTGTATTGATGATGATGATTGCGATGGTGATGGTGATGGTGATTTTGTTGATGGTGTTATTGATTCATTGTTTGTTGTTGTTGTTGTTGCTGGTTAATGCATAATGTACATGATGATGATGATGATGATATTTTTGTCGTGTTCCAAGTTGTTGTTGTTGTTGTTGTCGTTCCAATGTTTCATTATTAGGTTTTTGATCCTTATTATTGTTGTTGCTATTATCAACAACAATGTTGTGATTTAATTTTATTGATGATGATGATGTAGTTGTAGTAGTAGTAGTATTAGTAGTAGATGTTTTATCATTACGATGATTATTATTCTGTTTAATATGATCATCATAGGATTTTTTTCCAATCATTAATGATGATGATGATGATGGTGATGGTGATGCTGCTGTCAATGATTTTTTTCCATTATTATTACGATTATAAGAATATTTTTGATGATTATTATTATTACGATTCATAATAGTTGTACGTGTTACATTTGTTGTTGTTGTTGTTGTTCCAGCCACAGAATGATCCATTTGTGAACGTCCATGTATATTTGTGTGACAGAATTTGTCTAAATATAATTTAAATAACAATGAAAAAAAAATGAATTAACAAAACATACACATACACATACACACAAACAAACAAATGAAAACAGAAAAAAAAGAAACGAATCATAATGGCCAAATGATTCAATCATCATCATCATCATCATCATCATCATCATCATCATTATCATTATGATGTATCAACAACATGAGCTTGAGTACAATAAATAAAAATAATGAAATGGAATGAATGAATGAAACAACAGAATAGAATTTTGTTGTGAAAAAAAATGAAATGAGAAATTTTACTTGATAGCCGTGGTGGTGGTGATGGTGGTGGTAGTGGGGGTGGTTATTCGTTCAATTCACTTTAAATGGCCATTTTCTCTGCCATCATCATCGTCATCATCATCATCATTATCATTATTATCGGGGAAAGAAGAAAAATAGCAAGATATTACAGAATCAACATAGACAACAACAATAATAAACACACACAAAAAAATTCATCATCATCATCATCACCGTTGAAATAGGATGTAATGGAATATAAAATTGTTTTTGTTGTTTTTGTCACTGAATGGATTCTGTTTGGATTTTTTTTTATTTTCATTTTCATTTCAATTTCATTCATCATTTTTTTTTGTTGCTTGATACTTTTTTTCCGATTAGTTTGCAACTATCCACCACGGTTTATTCGAGAATGATCATCACCAAAAAAAAAAAAAATAAACATAATCAGCATTATTATCATGACAACAATGACAATATCAGAATAGAAGGATTCTGAATCAAAAAAATAGGGAAAGATAGGATAATAATACCCTGATGACAAAAAAAAACAGCTAGAATTAAATCATCATCATCATCATCAACAACAACAACAGTAACGAATTCATTATTATTGTATCAATATGGCTAGACCAGAATTTGTGTGAATCAATGAATGAATGATAATTTGGAAAAGTCTTTGATGATAATAATAACAATAGAGAATTCAAGTTGTATCCATTGAAGCGTATATTTACGATGATGATGATGATGAAATTTTATATTAATTTCCGTTAGTTTCCGACGCACACAGAATTTGCTGAAAAAACAAATTCATTGAATCCAATCGCTATCGATGATTACCTTTTACTGATTACTGAATTTTTTTCTTCTTGAAAAATCCAATTTTTACACATGAATAAATCATACAAATATGAGATTTTTTTTCTCCATCATTTAAAAGTCATTTAAATGATAAACGATTGAAACAATGTCCATAGACAGATTAAGTTTACTTGTTCCCAACTTTCTTATGATTTTTTCTTTTCTTTTTTTTGGTGGTGGTGGTCAATGTGGTTTATATAATGGTGATTAATGATTCGTTGGAAAGAAAAAAGTGGACAATCCAGTTCATTTGTTCATTCAGTAACCAGTATTACAGAATAATTTAATGGAATATAAATAGATAATGTACTGATCTATATAAGAATTTAATATTAAAAAACTACTTACGTGCTAAACATGGACAAAACATATTGACAAATGTACGGCGATATTTTTGTGATAATAAACAATAAAGAACAAAATTACCAGCCGAATTAATGGACATAAGTAGATTGAATATATTGCTCAATGCAACCAATATACAGCCATTATTTGATTCACCATCATATTGATTGAATGCTGTATATACTAATATAACAGCGGTTGGTGTTTGACATATAATAAATAATATGACAACAGCGATCAACATTATTGTAATACGAATTTCCTGTCTTGATGATGATGATGTAACAGCCGTAGCATTAGCACTAGCACTTGTTGTTGTTGAAGGCACATACATATTTGCATTTGCATTTGTATTTGATGATGATGATGATGATGATATCAATTTTCCACTTGTTGATATTGTTGTTTTTCTATTATTAGATTTTTTTGTTTGTTTTTCTTTACCCATTATCATACGTGAACGTTCACGATTAGAAATATGTACAGAACGTATTAAAAATGAATTGAATATAACCAACAATATTAATGGTAACAATACGAATAGAAAAACAGTCATATGATAATAAATATTACGATAAGTTTGATTATTTCCTAGTTCGGAAAATTCTGCCTCCAATGATTGTGATTGTGTTTGATTATCAAAACGTTCAACAATAATCCATTCAAATGGTGTTGGCAATGTAACCGAAAGACAAATAATAAATACACATAATATAACACGTTTTGCACGTGATTCAGTGCATATTATTTTGCCTTTGATTGGATGACATACAGCAATATATCTGTAATTAAATAAAATTGAATGTAAAATCAATCAAAATCAATCAATCAGTGATGATTAACCTTTCAATGGTAAATGTAACGGTCAACCAAACCGATGTATTTGATGATGCATCCGTAATCATTGTAAAATATGGAAATAGATTCCAATAATAATAATAATCAATTGAATGTGCATTTGGATAATGTTTTAATGATAATATGAATGTAAATATTAAATAAATCATATCGAATATGGCCAATGCTGCTAGATACCAATTTGTACTTGAACGCATTCGACGTCTTGTCATAATGATCATTGTAATACTATTGCCAATAATACCAATGATCATGATTATTGGTACAAGTACACGTTGAACCCAGAATCGTGTTCCATCACTATTGGACAAAAAAAAAAAAAAAAAAAAAAAATTTTCATAAACACAACCAAATGAAAAAAAAAAATTTTTTGATTACTGTAAATCATATATATACTGACCGGAAATGAATATATTCAATATCTGGACCAATGATTATGATACTATCATTTTGATAATCATGATTTTGTTCATATATATCATTGGAAAAATTACCATTATCATCAACAATAGCCATAGCTATTGTTGATTCAATTTTATTGTTCATTTTTATTATCGATCTGATATTCTCTGTTGTTGTTGATGCTGTATCTGCAATTATTCCTAATAAAATAGCCTGTTGTTGTTGTTGTTGTTGTTGCAGATTTTGGTCATCATCATCATCATTATCACCATTATTAATGCTGATATCTCTGTAATTTCTATTTTTGTTGTTGTTGTTGTTGTTTTTGTAGTTGTTGGCTACAATGAAAAAAAAATAGAAGAAAGAAAGAAAATGAATCCAAATTGTGATTGATTAACTAATAACAATGGAATCTTACTATGTGAAAAATGATCATTATTTTGTTGTTGTTGTTGTTGTTGATCATGTTGGTCTTTGTTATTTTGACTACTACTGTTTTGATGATTATTATTATCGATCAACAAATTGGAATAATCAACAAAATTATTATTCAGAATATTATCTTTAATTGATAATGAAGATGATAATAATGGTTGATGATTGATATCATTGTTTTGTATTTGAGAAACATTCCAATGATTCTGTGCATTCTGTGATGGAATCGTTAATTTGTTCACAGGAAATTGTTGTTGTTGAGCCGATTTTTGTTGTTGCAGAGATACTAGTTTCTCAGCATTTATCATCCAAATCATAACAGTCATCATTACGCTAATCGTTTTAATAATGTTATAGGTTGATATTATTGTTGGATGATGATTTGGATTTGGATTTGGATGGCCAGCCAATGGATTTAATCGTTTCAATACAACTAGCATATTGATTGGAAATTTTTTTTTCTTTCAATTATTTATAATAAAAAATTTTTTTTTTTGCTGCTAAACAAAACCATCAATAACAAACAAACATTGACAGAGTTTATGAATGATGCTGATGATGATAATAATGATAATGATAATGATAATGGTGACAATTGTGGCGTGAAATTCTTTTTGTTTTGCAGAAAAAAAAATTTCGTCGTCGTCGTCGTTTTATTCTGGATTTCTTTGAATTGAATTTCACTCCATTTCATTCGTTTCAGTTTCTTGAATTCTTTTGTGTATTTGATGATTTCGTAAATCGACCCCAAACAAAAAAAAAATGAACCAATCTGATAAATCTGTGTGCGTGCGTAAAAGAAACAAAAAAAAATTAATGAAACATTAATATCGATTGATTTGTCATTACAATCAATGTATATAATATATATTGAAAATGAATCATCAATCATCATGGCAGATAAATGACAAATTATTAGGAAATTTTAAACTTTTTTTTTCTCCCATTGCTTATTTTATACTGATTTCAGAATGATGAATTCATATATGTCTATAGATTTACATTGAAAAAAAATGTAACAATGTAACAACATTGAACATCAAGTATCAGGAATATATAAAGTTTTTTGTTTTACATATTTTTTATCTTCTGTTTTTTTTTTTTTGCTTGAAATCGTTGAATCATTTGTTATCTATAGAATGTGAATTTTTTCCAGTTTTTATGATTCCTTCGTCAAATTTTCACATCTAATTCAAGCCGGAAACAATGATGTGACAAAAAAAAAGCTTTTTTCCGCTCTCTCTCACACACTTTTTTCTTTTTTTCAACTTTATAAAATGACAGCCATTTGAAATTTTTATTTTTTTTTAAATTTTGCTTTCCGGACGAATAGTGTGATGGTAATGAATGAATAAATTTTTTTTTGTTTGAATTTCATAAACAAATCAGATTGTCATTGGTTAAAATTTTTTTTCCATTACATTTTGTGTGTGTGTGTGTGTGGCGGGGTAGTGATAGAAACGAAAAATTCTCACTTTCTCTTTTGAATCACTTACTTGGCAAAATCACTAGAATCAGAATAAGAATAATGTAATGATATGGGAATAAGAATATTTTTTCATAACATTTCTCCGGAAAAAAATGCACAGAAAATAAATTGATTTTTTGTACCGGGGAAAAATAAATATCAAAATGAATTTCATTTGTACGTTTTTTTTCACTGTTGTTGTTACGTCAACCTAGTCAATGATTCAATTAAACAATCAATCAATGATTCTTTTGCCAATATGGATGATAACTTGCCCTTTTAGAATGCAGAACACACACACACACACACACACAATTGCCCGAAGGGAATTTGATGTGTGTTCGTGTGTGTGTGTGTTTTACAGTTGTGAAAAAAAAGTTGCTCAATAGATTTATCAAATATTCTCATATTTTTTTTTTCTTCATCTTCTTAGATCGTGATCATAATTATGATTCCAACAAAATTGAATCGATTATGATTTGCTTTAGATAGCCTAAATAAAAAGCTAATGGGCTAAATAACAAGAAAACAAAAAAACTTTCTCCAATCCAAAACAATGTTCCAACTTGGCAATAATCTTTGTTCACCACATTTTTTGTATTTGGCAATCAGAAAAACCAGCAAAAAAAAAAATCCAACTTTAAATGATTTCAATTATGTTTCGCGGTTGGTATGCTACTGCTGCTTCTGCTGCTGCTGCTGATAAACAAAATACCAATTATAATGAATCCTGGAACATAAAAAATCCTGAAAAACAAAACCAGCTTAAGTGTGTGTGTGTGTTTTGAAGCGAATGAATAATATGATTGTGGAAATTTGTACATAATCTGTTTTTTTGGCAGTGTTAATAAATACGATATTGTGAATAAATGACGACAATGATGATGGAAAAAAAAGGAAACAACCATTACCATTACCGGGTGAAAATCGTATATCCAAAAAAAATGAAATGAAATTCCAATTCCTCATAAAATTCGTATGTGTGTGTGTGTGTGTGTGTATGTGAAAAAAATCCATTGAAAATATGCATGCACAGAATATTCTCAACGGTGTGTGTTTGTGTGCAATGAAGGAAGACAATAAATTTTCTTTTCAAAGAATTTTCTCCAATAACTATTAGAATCTCATGTTGAATGAAATCATCAGTAAATTAAAGTTAAACATTCTAGATTGTTGAAGATTTTTTTGTGTGAGACAAAATTGAAAAAAAAAAATGCATGATACACAACATCGATGAAAGTTTTATCTTCACTACCTTTTTTCGTCAAAATGGTAAACAGTGAGTGTCAAATCCACACACACACACACACACACATTGTTTGTTGGTTCATAAGAAAAAAAAATTCGTTTTACTTTTCATGTGTGTAAAAATGTCAAATACATGATTCTCTGTTCAATTGATTAAATTGCTGTAGTTTTTTTTCAAGAATTTTTCGTTTTTTTCCATTTTGTTCTTCTTTTTTTTTTTTTTTTCTTGTATAATAATTAGTTAATGGATGATGAATACAGTGGTTATAACAATAATTCTTGAGCTTGGAAATTTTCAAGTGGATGAATAATTCATGTCTACAATTACAATTTTTTTTCCTGTTGTAATAGAAATTGTGAAGAAAAAAAAAATTCCAAGATTCATCACCTTATTTTACCGACAAATTCCAACAAGATTATTCCATACCAGTATATTAGGTAGCTGTTATTCTGGAACATTTTGGATATATATATCAACAATGAATGTGATGATTCCGAAGAATCATCACATTTATTGAAGAATGAAAATTCAATTTTTTTTTTTTTTTTTACATATATATTTACATTGAATGAAAGCAAAAATACAAGATGCAAATGATGATTTTCTAATTTAGAGATATCATAATAATCAAAAAATGTGTGACGCATTTAAGATCATGAGTAAATATTCACTAATCAATTTTACATACAGAATAAAGATTGAATTTTGTTAGAATTGGAGAGAAAAAAAAATTCCTAAGAGTTTTTCTCTCTCTCTCTCAATTCCCAATTGTTGTTGTTGTTGTTGTTGGATGTATTCACATCTGTTTCGAATATTTTTTTTTTATTATAAGTACGCGTAACGATTTCGAGAAAAAAAAATAGTATGGCATAGGTTAAAGAAAAATTCAAATTAAATGTTTCACACCATCATCATCATAATGTGATGGTATGTAAATCATAAAAATTTTTTTTTTTTGACAAAAAAATCTTAATGTGAAAATAAGAACATGATGACTTTTGGAATTGTTGACGAGAATAAAATATTTTTCGATTCTTCAATTCTTCATTTTTTTTTGTTGTTGAAATGTTTTGACATACATACACACACACATACACGAATGCATTGAAATTTTATTGATATTTACGATCAACGAGAATATTCTTAGGGCTAAGAGAGAGAGAGAGTGAAGAATAAAGAGCTAACCTCTTCATGAAACCTGCGGCATCATCGGCCATAGAATTCATTCATTCATTCATTCATTTACATACTGAACAGAATTGCGATTTCAATTGAATGTTTTTTCTCTCTCTCTCTCTCTCTCTCATTGAAATGTCAATTTTTATTTTTACCTATTTTTTTGGCCATAATGATGTTGTTGTTGTTGTTGTTGATGATGATGATGATGATCATTATTAGAGAAAAAAACATGAATTGAATTCAATTTTCCAATATTTGTTTTTCTTTCATCAACAAAAACGTTAATGGATTCTCTCTTTTTCTCACATTCTGTATTAATCATCACCACCATCATCAGAAAAAGTTGTTCTGTCTATGTTTTATGACAATGATTTTGTGTTCAATAAATCATTTTGGCTGGCAATAGTCAATGGCAATCCGAACGAAAACAGATAGAATAACAAAATCGTGATCGTAAAAAAAAATAAAGTGTCAAAACAAAATTCTAGTGAAATTCTGGCAAAAAAAAAAAATTCCATCATCATCATTATCGATTGGACAAATAATAGAAAATCTCATGATTTAAATCCGTTATAATGAGGGCTTTTTTTCAAGGCAAGAATTTCAAACATTTTCGTCAACGTTGTTGTTGTTGTTGTTGTTGTTGTTTTTTCGCTTGTCAATATTTCAAATCAACAACATTTTTTATTCTGTCAACAGTGTGGTATAATAATAATCCTTGGAAATTTGAAAATCCAGAATTCAATTGATTGAATAATCAAGTGACCATTGTTAATGAATACAAAAAATGTTTGGATTTTATATCTCGTTCGCCACAATCAAATTTATTTC